TTCTTGATCTTCATATCAGAAACACAATAAACCCCGGACTTCTTTCTTCATCACAGCATGCATATACTAAAGCCAAGTCTGTCGATACGGCGCTTCATGTACTCATTTCACAAGTTGATCATGCCATCTCTCTCAGGGAATATACACTTGCAACTTTTCTAGACATCGAAGGCGCTTTCAATAATGTGTGCCCAAATGGTATTGTTAAATCTCTTTCAAATCTAAACCTTGACGAAAGTCTGGTGAAGTTTGTAGAGGTCCTTCTCAAAACAAGAATTATCACCTCCGACATCGGAAGTGTTAAATCATGTAGAACATTCTGTCGGGGAACACCACAGGGTGGGGTGCTTTCCCCACTTTTGTGGAACATAGCGGTTAATACCTTGTTAAAACTCTTGGAACAATCCGGATGTAGCGTAATAGCTTATGCCGATGACATTGCTATCGCTTCATCGGGTAAATTTCCCCAGGTTTTATCGAATATTGTTAATTCCGCGCTCGTCACGGTAACTGAATGGTGTAGGGAATTTGATCTTGATATTAACCCCGGAAAGACGGTGGTCATTCTCTTCACTAGAAAATACAAAATTCCTTCTTTCTCCCTTCCCAACATAAAAGACATTACACTGAGCTTAAGCTCGAGTGTCAAATATCTGGGCCTCATATTGGACTCTAAACTCAGCTGAAAGGCAAACTTGGTTGAGAGAGTCTGCAAAGCTACATGTGCTACTTACTGTTGTAGAAGAGCTATATGCCGCAGCTGGGGTCTTCAACCTCGTATTTTAAATTGGCTCTACACGGCCGTTATTGAACCTACTCTTCTCTACGGGGCTGCTTTCTGGTGGCAAGCTACTGAAAAGCCATGTCACTCAAAAATTATTGACAAAACAAGGAGAATATCCGCTTTACAAATCACTGGTGCTCTGCGCTCCACTCCTACAAACGCTCTTTTCACTCTGCTTCACTGGCTGCCATCTCGGCTTTTGTAAAACAGGAAGCTAAGATTGTAGCAACTAGACTAAATGCTCTTTCACGCTGGTCTAGAATTGATATAGGACACGCGATCATACTGAATCAGGATCTACCAGCACTCTTATCAATCGACTATAAGTGTTCCTACCTAGACCAAAACCAGGGGTTTAAAGTTCTCATACCTAGTAGAGAAGACTGGACCCTTGGTAGAGTATCTATCCCCAATATAATAGATATCTACACAGATGGCTCGAAAATAGACAAACGAGTCGGTTGTGGCATTTTCTCGGAAAGACTAGGTCTTAGTGTCTCGCTTCGACTACCTAACTACTGTAGTGTCTTCCAAGCAGAAGTAATGGCTATCCATTATGTTGTAAAATGGATCCTCGACAATCGCACCTCCGAAGAAAGTTATTCAATTTTCTCGGACAGCCAGGCTGCCATTAAATCACTGGTAAGCACCTTAGCCTCATTAATTATTACACAAAATTGCCGTGCTTCCCTAAACGACCTAGCTATGTGCGCTAACGTTCAACTTATCTGGGTTCCTGGTCATAGGGATATAGCGGGTAACTGCAGGGCTGACGAGCTGGCCAAGACTGGGGCTCTTCTCCCTGATATTCATTTATTAGAAATTGGCGTTAAACTTGCAACAGCTAAACTGACAATTAAACAAAAATATCTAAGCATTGCTAAGCAACAATGGGCAAGTGAGCCCAGTTGTCACATTTCTAGGTCGATTTGGTCTAACTTGGATAAAAAGCGTACGGGTCAGCTGCTCCAACTAAAGAGAGATCTGCTCTGTACTACGGTATCGGTGCTGACTGGTCATTGCTTAATAGGGATGCATGCTATGAGACTGGGTCTTCCTTATAATGACCTTTGTCGCGGTTGTGGCTCTGAGGACGAGGAGGAAACTGTGTTCCATCTCATGTGTCAGTGCCCATCTTTAGCCAGAAGAAGATTAAAAATCTTGGGGGCCCCTTTTCTGACTGATCTGACTGAGCTGTCATCCTACAATGTGAAGGACCCAGTTAGATTCATAGAACTGTCGGGTTGGTTCTCATTCACCTAATGGGGGAGTCATTGCCTCTCTGTTGGGCTTTGGTCGTATACTGATCACCTTATCTATATACGAACATCGCTTTTTCCTTGTGGTACCACAACGGGCCGCCACTCCAACCTACCTACCTACCTGCTGTTACTGACTTTTCCTGTCTTTGTTTTGGTTTTAATTTTGGGGGTGAATGAACTATTACAAAGCTCACTTGACTTTTACTGCCACCAAACTATGACTTGCCTTTTGGTATTTATTGTTGATCATTCCTGCTTGGCAATGCTATTCCCTCTCACTAAGTCAAATTTTAGTGCAGCTTTTAGAGGAATTCGCCTTAATTGCTTGAACAAAACAAACAAGACTTAAACCTAAAAGCTTTACTTCTTACCTTCTCTATTTACTACTTTTGTTTTCTTTTATTTTCATTGATAGGTTACGTCATTGGCTCCGCCAACACTTCACAGTATCCAATTAATTGGTCTATGTGATCAAATTTGTATCGTTATTAATAAATTGCAAAATTCGACAGTACATGTCTCATAAGTGTCGCAAATAATTATCTATCCCACGGTACACTTCCCATATTACCAAATTTGTTTAATAGTGGCTTCAATCGACACTTTCCAATCATTAATTACAAAACGTAATTCTTTGTAACTATTCTAGTTGCAGAACAATTAAAGTATCGAAATAATATTTTATCCCACGATACTTTAACTTCCTCTTAATAAGCAAAACAAAATTTCCTAATTTCACTGCTCCAAATTCAAATTCCTAAATCATTAAAATATTAAAATAATATTTTAATTCATAGTAATTTCCATTACAAAATCTATTGCATTTGAGCATTTCTCAAACTGCATCACCATTTCACATAAACAATGTAATGACCCTCATTTGTCAACAGGTTACCAAATTTTTATTGTTACCTCTCATCCACTTTCGCCAATTATGATTTGTAAGTAGTATGTTATATAAGATATTGATTTTGTATTTAGAATTTAGTCTTAAGATTCCACCTAAGTGAGCATATGTTTAATTATTAATAAAATAATTTTCATTTAAAACAAAATTTGTTTTTAAACAAAAAATTAAAATAAAATAAAATTTTAAACAAAATTAAAATTTGTTCGTGAATTTATTTTTATTATAATTATTATTTTTTTTTATTCACCGAAGTGAAACATATAAGTTGCGCGCAATGCACGTTGTAAATTTATTAAACTGAAATTCTTTCAATAATGAGCGCAAATATAAATAGAAAAACTTCATGCAAATATAACACATTTTAAATTCTATAAAAAAAAATTACTTGTGGACTATATAAAAAAAAATGAACAGCATACTTAACAGTTATGCGCAAAAGTAATACTGTTGGTGGTCACATTAAAAAAAACTTGAAAATGTCGGCGATATAATTAAAAGAAAAAAATAACTGAAATACCCCTGGAAGTTGTATGAAGTCCGAGGTAATGTTAATAATATCCATGTTAATTTCATTGTATTTACATTTTACTTCCATATAGGCCCACATAACACATTCATAAAAACGCTTATGAATTTTAAATTGCGTTGCAGAAATAGTCCTTTATATTCCAATTTGTTGGTATATTAGTCGTAATTTCAGAGTTGTAAGAAACAGCATTGTCTGGTTGAAGCAAATTGGTATCACATTTTAAATATGTTAAATGCTTATTTTTGACATATTTTTTTATTGTGTTGTGTACAATATGAGTTATAAAAATTATAAATACTAAAAATTAATTAATTTTAAAAAAAATAAAACAAAATTAATAATAGAAGAGCAATGGTTTGGATCTTTTATTTTATATATTTATATATATTTATCTTATATGGTATATATAAACAAATTAATTTATTTATGCATTTAAATGTATTGGTAAATGAAATCCTCCTAAGATTTTAAGGGACGACCACGGTTGCCACTTATGGTACTTTAGTACCAAAATTGGTACTTTTTTTTTTTTTTTTTCGTTTGGTACTCACTTTCAAAAAATGGTACATTTTTGACGACCCAACTTTATTGTGGATATTTAAAATTAATTTTTTTTATAAATGCAACTTTGCACTATTTTATATTTTGTTCATTTATAACACTATAAAAAACACAGAACGAGAAAACAAAAAGGTTTTTTACAGAAATGGTACCTTTTTAAACCAATTTTGGTACCCAAAAAAATTTTCAAGTGGTAACCGTGGGGACGACTGAAATTTTACAACATTGACATAATTTTCCAGTGAACATTCACAACAAATTGATTTTAGAATTTGATTGCTCTAAAACTTAAGACGTAAATATTTTTGCCAGCAATGTCTTACTTTCAAGACTTTAATAGCATTGAGCAAGTTACAAGTATTTTTTTCTGCTCTGTAATTGAAATATCGGTAATAATAATATATTTTAAAAGCTTATTTAATAATAATTCTTTTACAAATATTTATTTGTCTAGCTATAATCGTTGGTGCCTTGCATAAGCGGTTATAAATATCAAATAAGAGATATACGATCGAGTTAAACTTTTTTATTTGCATTTATATTTATGTTATATAAGTACTTTACTTTTTATAAGTACTGTCACAATTGCAATCAGGATATTTTGCATATCAATTCATTAAAATTAATTAAATTCGTTTATCTTAATAATTAAATTATATAAAATATATACTATATATATGAGGATATACATTATTATACATTATATATATAATGTATATATATGAGTATTAAAATTGCGTAAAATAGTGAAAGAGTGACATTGGGTGGTATAGTTACGTATACTTAATACGTGTGTTAAAAATGAAAAATAAATATTTGTTTTCAGAAAAGAATTCTTTGCTTATTTTCAAAACTAGAAGCACTCCGTTCTCTATAAGATCTTCTCTGAATAAAAGTCTTCGTTCCTTACAAGTAGTTCTCTGATATATAATCATAATTATCTGGCAATATTTTTAAATTCAGCGTTCCTATGATTAACGTTGCATAGTTGGCTTTGTGAATCGCGTCAATAATAAGTCCTCGTAGTGATTTGTATATAGTACATAGATTTCAAATTGAACAATGCATATTAGACAAGTATAAAATATGTGATATATGTGATAACATAGGTACTAATTAATATAATTTTAGATAATAATTCAAGGCTTCAAGAGTTATAAAGATCAAACGGTAGTAGAGCCATTTGATAAGAGGCACAATGTTGTTGTTGGAAGAAATGGCTCTGGAAAAAGTAATTTTTTTTATGGTAAGCACTGCAAATATGCGAAACCAATTAAATAAAATTCTTGGGTTACATATTAAAATATCTAATATACGATTTGTTTGTCATACTGCTATTTAAATTTGGTTTGTTTAAATTTAGTAATGTTTTTGTCAATATATCTTGAGAAAATTTAAGATGATATTATGAAGACGTGCAATATGACAGTGAAGTGTACCACAAAAAAAAAACAAATATTTTGGTAGCAATGTAAATACTAACAAATGCAAATGTTAAAGTACCTTCGTAAGGGCCATGTTATGCAGAGTGTCTCGGGCACGGCAAATTACGCTCTTTCGGGCTATGCCGAAAATGCATGTTATGCAGAGTGTCACATCAGTATTGCCAATTTTGTATTTTTACTACTTCTTGGTTGTGCCTAAATTTTAAAGGAAATTTAGATATGCTCACTTTCAATTTACCACCAAAAATAACTCGCATAAAAAAAACTCATAGAGGCTGTAATAATGTTAATTTATTATTATATTAACTTATAATAATTGTTAACAGTACTTACGCGTTTCTTTAAAATCGGAAAGTGTAATAATTATATTATTAGCGATTTGTAAAAAAAATGCTGTGTTGCTTACTGCCATTTTTTCTCCAAAACGTACTAGAATTGTAGTAGTTTGCTCCTAAAAGGCACAAATTTTGAAATTTATTACTAAACAACACTGTTTTGCCTTAGTGCCGGGGCACAAATACGCCGGCTCTCATGCCGGAGTTCGAACGGCCATATTGTTTTTTCTCTCACTCTCAAATTTAAAATTTGCATTGAAAACAAAAACAATTGTACTCATGCCGTGCCCGAGACACTCTGCATAACATGGCCCTAAGTAATTCAAAATTACAAAAAGAGTTGCCTAGGAGCGTAACTGACTTCAATTTGAGAGAAAACTCATCGAAAGCAATGTGTAAAAGTCATTTCCCAAAAAAGTAGTATGCCCTTAGAAGTACTTATAAATTGCTCGCGAATAAATGGACTTGAGGGGTCTTTAAGGCCCACTACAATCGAACTTTGGGAGTGTTTTAAATGTTATTTGTCTATAAGAAAAGTAATTTATTTGACAATGGTTTTTTGTATGTTTTATACAAAACAATTTTTCTCATTACCGGCTTTATAAATTTTGTCTGCCAATGAATTATGGCTTTGCCCCAGCTATCAGCTAAAAAGTGGTTTGTATTTTCTTTACATGAATAATTTGTGTGGTATAATAACCGTTAAATTGTATTGAATGAAATATAAAATCTCTTAGCGCTCCTAAAAAGAACAAAGCTGTTTTATTGCTATCCGAAACAAGTACGAGTTCATTTACTGAGTTACCAGTAAATGAACTGTTGCATTATGAGAAAATAATTTGATTTGTGTAGATATTAAAACATGATGTATCGAAAGCAATCTACCGACATAACTGAAATTTTTTTGGTATCACTGAAATAAAATTATTTAATAAAATTTATTTTATTTAAAACACAAACTCAAATTTATTCTCAGAATATTACATCCTGTTAGAACAAATTAATATTATTAAAGTGTGAATTAAATTTCACACTAAATTTCAAAGCACTATAAATTCACAAATGTCAAATGTCAAAACATAATTCTGGTGCATGCCATTTTTCGCCGCGAATATAACACAAGCCTGCATCAGAAGATAAGGGAAAGGTGAGAAAAGAAAACAAGTGAGACAAAAATATCAACTAACACAAGTATAATAATAAATAAATAGGTAAGGCGAATTTTAACAAACGGTAATTAAAACAAATAACAGTTGAAGCAATGTACGCGCCACGGGAAAAGCTTCGTTCGATTTAGTATAAATAAAAATCACTTGTTGAGAAACTCTCAAAGGTAGTAATAAGTTTTTGTAAACAAGTTAGTAGAACTGTAGTCAAGGTAGTTACATACATCTTGACTAGTAGTCTTGTGTCACGTCTAGATAGTTATATACGTTATATAAATCACGTCAAGGAAGTAACATACATCTTGACTAGTGATCTTGTATCACGTCAAGGTAGTTACATACATCTTGACTAGTAGTCTTGTATCACGTCAAGGTAGTTACATTCATCTTGACTAATAGTCTTGTATCACGTAAAGATAGTTCCATACATCCGTTCGAGAGCATAAATACAACGTCTGCACAAATTATCAAAACACAATCTTACACAAACATATTGAACATATTAAACTAATAATATATTATAATTATATCAATTTCTTTTTCTTTTTGAATTTTCTTTTAAATAAACAAAATCCATTAAATTGTCTTTGACTCCCGAAAATAAAAATTATATTGCAACAATCCCTGGACAACGGCTAAATATACCTCAATGTTAGCAACGGACAAAAACATGTCGTTACAATTGGCGCCCAAGCAGGGACCTGGTTGGTCAAACACGGAAGTCAAGACTATAATGGAAGGGAAAATTAAAGAACTAGATAAGAGAGAATATTACTGAATATTGCAAGAGGAACAATGTCGGCGGAATCAAGAGGAATACCAGAGAATGATATAAGTTCTATAAATCCTCCAGTGTACTCAAATCTACAGATAGTGGAATAAGTACAGAAATGGTTCTGCAGATATGACGGTGGCAAGGATCCATTGGGTTTTATCGAGCACAAAGAACTAGCAGATATGTACAGCATTGATGTAAACTCAATTTCTCGCGCAATGTCCTTCTTGAAAATAAGGCGCTGACATGGTATCGCAACAACAATTTTCGTTGGCAACTCTCGACAAGTTTTAAAGTTGATTTTTTAAAGTTCTTTACCTAATCTAGATACTTCGATAAGCTAGAGAACGAGGTATGAACACGACTTCTAAAATCAAAAGAAAGTTTTTGAGATTATTTATTTGACATCAAAACTCTAATGCAACGAGCCTGTATTATTCAAGATTCTCAACAAAGCGAATATATCGCAACATGAACGCTGATTACCAAAGGTACGTCGGAGACGAGGAGATCTTAGATGAATTAATGACAGTAGTTGATGACTTTGAAGCACTTCAAATAGAGCAGATCAAAGCAAGTCAAAGCAATGAACAAGAAACGAGCATGAGGCAGGTGGTAGTTGAATTCAAGCAAGCAATCCCATTGCAGTATACTATGATATGAGTGCAACCAAGGAAAATACCGAAGAACATGTCCAACAAAAGAAGCAGAGCAGTCAGGAACAGAATCAGTCCAACCTACATTTAACAATGCGAATCATGCAGGATCGAAATTATCTAGAACAGCATCCGATACCACTGAAATAAACTTCACAAACACAAGCCGATAAATGTCTCATACCTCAACAACAAGCACTGCAACGCATCATTCGAGAAAATTCAGAAGTATTTTATCCAGCCCGAGTTATGCAAAGTTAAATTCAAGCGCATGAAATACAACCACAGCAAGATCTGCAACGCGTTACGCCTATCGAAAAAAGTAAACAAGGACTTAGTAAACATCGAATTTCCAATACATATTCTATAACATACAAGACCAAGGAAACGTACAACGGCAAATACAAAATGTACAACAATCTCCAGAGCTAGAGGTGCATGAAGAAAATTCGATTATATACTCGATAGGCTTGGTGGGAACCTCATGAGAATACGTACCTTATGAACTAACGTCAACAGAGACCTCGCTAACACCACGACTCGTTGTCTCTACATTATGAATGCCATAGTGAATCAGTTTCTAATTAAAAACGTCTTTGCGGCTGAACAAAAACAAAATGAACAAAAACAAAAAGAAACCACCGAATCTCAGCGCAAAGTAAATCTATATTTGTACGACCAAGGCAAATCTTATACGGAGATTGGAAAAATAATGGATAGAAGCGCTATACCATTCGAAATATTGTGCAGAGTAGCAAAGGGGTGATATCGTTCAAAAGTGCATAGCACACAGGCGACCTAAAGCCTTGAGCGACCGTGATCGCAACATAATAATAAGAAAGGTGAAGGTCAACCCAAAAATATCTTCAATCCAAATTCCAGCTGAGGTTAGGCGAGAGTTTGGCTAGTTATAACAGTCGTGTCACTAGACGAAAACCGAAAGCCAACCAACAGAAACGTCTAGCTTCTGCAAAAGCGTACTTAAGCAAGCCAATCCAGTTTTGGAATAATGTTATCTTCGCAGATAAAAATAAATTTAATATCTTTCGATCTGATGGCCACTAAATAGTTTGGAGTAAACTAAACACCGAACTGCAAAAAGAAAATCTTGCAATGTCTGTGAAACATTGTGGTGGAGAAGTGTTTGTACATGGCTGTATGTCCGTTGCAGGGGTCGGCGAATTGGAATTCATTGACGGCATTATGGACAAAAAATATTGTTTAGACATCCTCAAGAGAAACATCAAAAAAATTGCCTAAAACTTGAGTTTACTTGTCACATTTAGCTTCCAACATGATAATGACCCAAAACATACGTCTTATGTTGTGCGTATGTGCCTCACTCATCATGTAAACACACATTACCGCATACACCTCAATCTCTAGATCTCAACCCCATTGAACATTTGTGGGAAGAATTGGATAGACGACTAAAGAAGCACACTATACAACAAAATCAGCACTGAAGGTGGCTCTGCTTGAAGAGTGGCAAAATATTGGGCCAGAAACCACACAAAAATTGGTTTTATCGATAATAAGGCGACTAGAAGCCGGTATCAAACAAAAGGACTTGACCACGACATATTAATTGTTATCGTAAATATTTTTTTTAAATTTGTTTTTTAATTTTTGCATTAACTGTGCAGATAATTTTGTTCAGCCAAATTTAATTTTTTTTTGGGTTATTAATTTTAAAAATTGAAATATAAGAGAAACTAAAATGAAATAAAATGAAGTTAAAAGCAAATTAAGCATTTATCTAAAAAAAATTTTTGTTGATTAAAAATCGCATCATTAACTGGATAAAAATAGTGTTAAAGCACTGAATTTAGAAATACGCTCAACATATCTTTTTGTCTCCATTGCGGA